TATATATATATATATATACGTATATATATGTGTATATATATATGTATATATATGTGTATATATATATATATATATATGTGTATATATATATATATATATATGTATATATATTTTCTAAGTAAGTTTATTCAGATGAAAAAAATATATATTAATTTAATTCTTCAAGAGAAATGATTTGCCAGATGGTTGACTTTTTTTATTATTTTTATCATGCTTATTTGCTTTTATTTGAAGAATTTATTTTTTGAAAACGACAACAACTGAAGGAGCTAGAGCTTTATAACTAATATAATGATGTAGTTAGTGAGAGTACGGTCTGCTTTATTACAGTGGACGTTAGGATGAGCGTCAAATTGGTCGAAATATATCAGAAAAGCTCTTTAGGAAAATAAACTATCAGGTGCTCAAGAGAGAAAAACTAAACATATTTCCCACGTTTTTTGTATATTTATAATCAATCATTTACTATGCTGACCAGAGTTGTGAAAGAGATCTTCTGTTCATTATTTTTTTAAGAGAAGTTTTTTATGTTTCCTAAAAGTATGTGCTCCCTTTTTGTTTTGTAAAAAAAAAAAAAAAAGCCAACGTGACCCTGATTTGTTAGCCTGACATTGTCAGGAGAAGAAAAACGAAAGAAAGAGAAACTTGTGAGAGTCACTGAACAGCTGGCGGTAGAGAGATGAGAATGTTATTTTTAACACAAAAACAGACACACGTGTTTTCACCTGTAACTTGATCGAAAGCCCCCAAGGTGCATCAAATTGACTGGTGGCCTTCTATTCACGCAAGACTTGAATTAGTCCCATTTTTTTAAGGCTAAGAACCTTGATTCTTTGTTGTAATGTGCAATACTGTTTGTACTGTTTGTAGAAAAGAAGAAAACAAGAAAAAAAAGAGGCATAAATCTTTATTGCAGAATTATTTTCATTGCAAGCATTGTGATTCACTAAAATCATTTTCTACTGTGTATTTACCTACTCTACCTGCTAGTACCTTCCAGTAGTAATGTAGCCTTTGTACTGAGAAATTTTCATTATTTTTAGAGAGTTTTGCTAAAAAAAGAAATGAATTTAAACATATTTACATATTTTCCTTTTTATTTCGTATTCTCTTTCTTTACAGACTTCTTTCTCAGCCATTAATAGTTATGTCTGGGGGAGACTTTCATATCTGGTCAATGTCATTAATATTATTTTGTATTTTTACTTGGAATAAATTAATTTTATGATGCTAATTCTTTAAAAGTTTATTTTTTTCATTCGTTCACTTTTTTTCATTTTTTTTTTAAGCTGAAAAAAACCCAACTTTGTGATATTGTTACTAAAGTGTCTCGATTCTTGAAATGCTATAAGCTTTGTTATGTGTGAACTCGCTGATGTTGCTTACATTAGTGTGTAAATGATTTACGGAGAAAAAAAACCTAAAAAACTATTCACAAAAAGCAGATTGGTGATGTTGAAAGTGATTCTCAATGTAAGCAAATGAATGGGCAATAAAATACAAATGGCAGAATGGAGCATACACGCAGTATGTCGTGATGTAATTGTGGAAGATGGACAACACCGCTGACCAATAATACCACTACTACTACTATTGCCACTAACTCTACAATAACTCATCCTCACTTTGTGCAGTGGAGAGCAACACTTCATCACAAGGGAAACATTCAACAGTTCCTCCTAAAGAAACAGCCATGTCACCTCCTCTCTTTGTAGTCAGTTCGGTCCCTGCAGAGTGCACCAGTGTGATTGTATTTAAGTATGAATGTAAATGTAGAGATTCACTGTGTAACATACAGCGTTTGGGAAGAGCATGTATAACTGTAGAATCTTAATTATGCGTAGGAGGCAATTAATGGTCTAAAGTGTTTTTATTCTTCTTCCCCAAATTTTGGTTTGTTGGGGTTTATTTAATTTTTTTTTTTTTTTAAATCCTACATTTCCCCTCCTAAACTGCCTTAAAAAATAGTTTGACATTTAGGGAAATTCTCTAAAAAGCCCTTTTGCCAAGAGTTAGATGAGATGTTTGACACCATTGTCATGTCTGTACTATAACATATAAAGCTACAGCAAGGTGACTGTTAGCTTAGCCTAGCATTAGCCACCCTGCTACATAATCTCCTGTAAAACTACTGCTTTAGAGGTGTTGGTAGGCACATTTATGTACAGAGCCAGGCTAGCTATTTCCCCTCTGCCTCCAGTCTTGATTCTAGGCTAATATGACGAGGCTGTAGTTCATTGTGAAGCTACAGCCAGTTAGCTTAGCGTAAAGATGGCTAATATGATCAGTAGTTGGCTGTAGTTCATTGTGAAGCTACAGCCAGTTAGCTTAGCGTAAAGATGACTAATATGATCAGTAGTTGGTTGTAGTTCACTGTGAAGCTACGGTCAGTTAGCTTAGCGTAAAGATGGCTAATATGATCAGTAGTTGGCTGTAGTTCATTGTGAAGCTACAGTCAGTTAGCTTAGCGTAAAGAGCTAGCCCAGCTCGGTCCAAATGTAACAGAATCTGCCTGCCAGCACCAAAATAAGGCCTTGGATCTTGTTCATTGAATCCAATTAACGGAAGTGTAAAAAGTGTTGGGGGGGTTATGTTCCTGAAGTTTTGTCCAATGTGTCGTTTTACACTTATGTCAGTGTTTGTGTGAACAAACGATATTAAAAGTGTTGATTAGAGAGCTTTAAAAGTGTTAGTAGGCACATTTTGCGACCTTTTAACGGAGCCAGGCTAGCAGTTTCCAATCCTCATGCTAAGCTAAGCGGCTTCAGGCTGAAGCTTCATATTATATTTTTTATCCAACTCTAAATAAGAGCAAATAAGCGTATTTCCTTAAATGTCGACAGTGTCCTTAACTTATTCTGAAGTGTTTTTGACGTCCCTTCCCGTCTTCGTCCAAAAAGAGACGTCAGTGCTCATGTGAGAATGTTATTTCTGGTTGGCCTTTCTATCAGTTTACACAGCTGATGCCAATAGCTTAGTCCCACACTTGTCTCTCTGCCAGGGCTCTGTATTATTCACCACCATACCATCAAGTGCATCTCCTGGCCCTTCGTTTTTTTGTTTCTCTGTCACTTAACATAACCATTTATACCTTAACTATAACACAGTGTATGTATGTGCAAATGGCACAAAGATGATTTGGATGACGGCAACCATTTTATATATTCCTCTGTATAGATATACGTATGTATTTCATGTAACTAGACTTGGGTATTATACTGTATATTCACTTCTGCTTCATGGGCGTTCTCTGGGTAGATGAACACTGTTGGTCTCGTCATGTTGTGATCTCAAAATGGATACAAAAAATAAAAATAAAAAGATTGGTAATGTGCTTTTTTCCCCTCCCACAAACATCCCACTTCTTTTGAAATGTACTTTTACAATTGTTTTTAATTTTCTTTTTTAAATCAAGGCATATGTGCTTGTCTAGGTTTTTTCTTTCCTGACTTGAACACTGGTTCCATCTTGGCGAGGCTTTTTGCAGTGAAACTGATTGGAAAACATGGAACTCAATGCTGCTAATGCTTACTACTGCTTCAGAGTTTGTAGTTCCCACCATCATCTTTTCCTGTACCAATAAGCAAATCCTATTAAATGTGGTTGTATGACGCTGTGAAACCTTGTAGTCTTTGGCATGGCATCCTCTCTGTCCCCCGTTGTGAGTTTAGAAAAGAGCTGACCAGTACTAACCTCTGCGACTTACTGTCGCGGTATTCATACATCTGCCATTTCAGTATAAATGATTCATTCCGCAGATTCAGACAGTGTGGCAGGCAAATCATCCAGAGCGATCGGTATCTGACAAAACAATCCCCCTACAAAGTCAATCTAGTTCTGGAGCTTTCCTTCGAATCACACAATCTTCATCAGCAGACAGATTCTGACCAGTTTTTATAGAAATGTGGATGCTCAAATTTGTACTTAATTTATTTTGAAAATCCCTCTGAATTAATGTGGTTTTAACTCCCTCTTTGGAATGAACACATCACTTTGTTTTTGAGCTCAAATTTATATGGTGCGTCCAATAAACAAATATACATAATAAAGTTGCTAAAAAAAACAAACCTCAAATACTGTATAATAACGCAGGGTTTACAGTCAGATTATCTGAAATAACATTTCAAAGCACTTTCAAAATTAGAATTATTAGCATTCAGTGTTCCGTTTGACTTCTTGTCCATGTTGGCCTAAAAGTTGAGAATTATTGACCTCGGAAACTGAAGTAGACAAAAAGATCTCACCACAAGCTCCAACAGGTCACGAAAGACCTCAGACTCTTCAAGGCCAACATGGAGTGAAAACCTCCAACTACAGCTGACACGTCTGCATCCTTTTATAGAAGGTTTTCCTTTGCGGTGTGTTGATGTAACAAAGCAGTTAATGATCCTACAATGTGTATATTTGTGTCAAAAGAACAACAATGTGACCATACTACAGGTTCATTAATGTCTTATTAGTATTGGTCCTCTTTAAGGTACAACCACCCCATGTAGTGGCCATCTCTGTTCACATGCAAAGAAAAGATAGCTTTGTATTGCAAAAGGTCTGTAGAATTTATTCCAATTCCACAGTCATAAACAAAAAGCAGCAACTACAGAAATATGTACAAGTCTTTTCTTTTTAAAATACTGGTGACAAGTTTCCGGTACCAGTCTCAGCTTGGCCCCGTGTCCCGTCTCTGTAATGCTGCTTCGAGCGCAGTGCTTCCCCAGGTCATCGTTACGCCACGCTAAAGACTCTTGATGGCCACAGAGCGGCGTGACGACATCGCAGTGCTGTTAAGACCTTGTGGTGATGAGGGGGAGGGGGGGGGGGGATGTGAGAGTGGTAGTGGGGCAGTACAGGTGTCTGAAGCAGTTAACACTGTATACTCTGGCAATGCGATGTGGGAGGAGGGCGGCGGGCTGTAAAAGCAGCACCTGGTGCCGCTACTACAAAAGACCACTATAAGTATGATGCTCTGGATGCTTGAGACCACAGCAGCAACACTGTACTACAGCGGTGACGGTGCTGTAAACTCCCATGGACCATTTAAAAACACTGGAGGCGTTTGTCGCATCGTCATACCATTAAATCCTCTAAAGAGGGCTTGTTGAAAACCTGGGTGGTTTTGCGCTCAACATAGAATTACAGGGTGTCTGACCTTGTACAGACATCATCATCATTGCTGAAGCAAAAAAATAAAGATTTATTTCCTATTTTGGCTGTGTTTTAGTTATTGCTTTGGGACATTTGTAACAATTCCCCATCAGTGACTTCCTATAGTTAGGTTGTTTAAAGTGTGTGTGTGAGGGGTAGTAGAATGCAGCAACGGGCGTGTCCTCGGCGCTCTGACCAGGGTCCTGCTCGGCCAGCATATGGAGGCTGTGTGTGTGTGTGTGTGTGTGGGGGGGGGGGGGTGTCATGCAGTGCTACTGCAGTGAGTGCATGAAGCTGTCCAGGTTGTACTCCGTGTCGTACTGCTGCTGGTCCCAGAGCTCCCCCAGGCCGTCCAGCACAGACTTCATGGAGGACTTCCCCGAGGTCGACGACGACTGCTGCTCACCCTTCTCCCCCTGAAAGGCATTCATAAACAAGACAGTTCAGCCAAACACAGAGTATTACACAGTTTATAGGCGTGTTTTCAGGAATATACAAGCATCTTCTCATGTGTTTTCTTCTTCTTCCTCTAATCAGACTGAACTACAGTCTGGTACAGTTTATATCTTAGGTTAAAAAAAAAATAAATAAAAATGGTACAAACAACCTGGGTTTGAAACCCAGATGCCTTAAAACAGCAGCCTCACTCATTAAATGTGTGTAAATTCTGAAGTTATAATTCTTAAAGGTGGGGATCATTTCTTCTGACATCAGCGGGGCACCTCTGCTGCATTAATGTGTGATCTGTATCTGAATAATGACATCTGATCCTGTTGAGTTTACATCTGGCCTCATTGTGGTCAGTATGCCAATCAGTTACGCAGTGCTGGCGGACTTGTCCCGGTTTAGGGAGGCAATGCCATGGCGTCATTACTTTCTAAAAATCACTTTTTGCAAGCTAAGACATGCTAGCTGCTACTTCTAGCTTTTGCCCAGGCTTGCTTCAGCCAGCAGGTCGAGGCAGAGCTAGGCGACTCTTTTATTATCAATGTTTTAACGAGGTAGGTGTTACATTTATACCCGACTGTAAAGACATTGTTTAGATCTCCACCAACATGTGTCTCCGTGACGGACACCCTCAGAAGTCTCACCTTGTCGAGACTGAAGAGGTTGAGCAGCTGGTCCGTGCCCATGCTCTGCAGGCTGGCGTTGTCTTGGCTGATGATGGTGTTGGCGATGCTAATCTTGAACTTCTGCAGGCCCATGATCTTCTCCTCCAGCGTGCCCCGGGTGATCAGCCTGTACACGTTCACCACCCGTTTCTGCACGGTACGAACACAACGGGGAATGTTAAAAGAAGGTATTTAGAACTTGTGGGACGGAGCCTCCCGTCCCCATTTCACTTCACTTGGGTCCTTCTTGCATCACTGGTTTCATACAAGAGCAGCAGTGTCACACGATCCGAGGCCGCGTTTAATAATGCAACAAGGAGACTGATGGACACGTCACATCCTTCTTTGGGAGCCACAGGAGCATCTTGGATTCAGTGTCATCTCAGTGAAACAGGAATTTATCAAAGCAGATGATCTAAAGCAGCTATTCTCCACCACTGGGCCTCAGAGAGCCACCTAGTGGGCCAAGGACGTACTGCCAAATGGGTAGAATACTTTTTTTTTTTAGTTTACAAAAGCTAGTTATGTTTATATCTAAATGTGCTCAGGAATTCACATAAATAAAGACGTCAAATTTGAAAGCACAATTTCAATGACCAGTAACAATTTTTTTTTTTTTTTTTTTTTCAAACGAAAAAGTGATGGAGACAACTGTGTGCCATAAAAGCTCCAAAGTGTGCGGTGAGGAAATATGACCCCGAATACATTAAATATGGATTCATAACGGCAGGCAGTGACACTTATTTCACACAGAAGTGGTTCTTAAGTTACAGATTGTTGAGAATCCCAAATGTAGATGTTATTGGGATGTGGTCCACGCTCAGAGAGCGGTTTATGTAGCCGTGTGTGTCCTGCATTCTGCTCTATGTACCTGTCCTATCCTATGGGCACGATCCATGGCCTGAAGGTCCCTCATGGGGTTCCAGTCATGTTCCACAAACACCACGGTGTCTGCACCCGTCAGGTTCAGACCTAGGCCCCCGACATGGGTGGTCAGCAGCAGCACGTCGATGGATGGGTCATTGTTAAACCTGAGAGCCAGAGGGAAGAAAGTCAGAGGGAGGAGATTTGAACCATAACGGGCAGCGCGAGGTAGAGTTCTGAGCCAAAGAAGCGACTTAAATCAGTCCACCGACCTGGAAACGATGGAGTGTCGCATGCCGGCCGGCACACTGCCGTCCAGCCTCAGGTAGGTGACCGAGGGCAGTTTGGGTTTCAGGAGGTCGTGCTCCACGATATCCAGCATACTCTTGAGCTGACAGAAGATGAGCACACGATGCTGGGCCACGACGGCCTCTGGGCCCCCCTCCGATCCTCCACTGCTTCCTAGACCGCAGTCCAACAGCAACTGAGAAGAGAAAACAGGTCAGAGCCGCAGCATGAGACAGCTACCGTGTAGTTCTGCAACAGGATGATAAGAAGAAAAATAATAGTGATACCATGGGGGCAAACAATCTGATCGGTCAAGACTGTGTTCCCATGGGTCACATTAAATCTGTTTCCCAAAAAAAAAGAAAAACGGAGCTAACGGGTAACGTATGGAGGTTAAATTGAGTTACATTATGATGCTGTAAAAAAATTTGTATTGGGTGGAGAGGTACATTATAAAGTTATCATGATGTGTTCAAATGTAATCTTGTAAAATGTAGTTGTTGGCGAGAAACTTGAACCGGATCCTCTGGGATTAGTAATCAAAAACTAGTATGCAAGCAGTAATAAAGGAGTGCATGTAAAATGATATTGGATTTATGTTTGTTTAGTTTATTGGTATTAAATGGGTATCGAGAATCGTGGAAGTGTGTGTAGACCTTGTTGCCTCATCTTTTATCGCCATTCTTATGCAAGCATATTACTTTCATGAAAACATATGTGAGCCGATTCCAAACTGTAGCCCGAGCAGGCGGAAGTGATGCAGTGGCTCTAAAATAAGACTTCCTGCACTTCACCTGTTTGAGAGCGGAGAGTTTGGGCGCGTGCTGGAGGTCCCGCAGACTGGAGCTCTGACCTGCGAGCTGCTCGCTGATGCGCTTGTACTCGGGATGCTGCGGGGTCAACACCAAGCTCGGGTGGTTACACAGCTTCCTCAGGTACTGCAGAGCCTGAACGAACGCAGGTAAAGAGATGCATTTGCAAAAGATAAGGCATACACCAAGTATTAACAATAACCACCTTTAACTATTGTATCAGAGCAGGTAGACACACATCTAGAAACATAAAATGAACCCAGTACCTGGAAGACATGGCCTGTGGCCTTCAACTTAGGCTTCTCCTCTCCTGTAGACGTATCAGAGATGCTGTCCTCCACACTGGCCTTGGCTCGAGACTTTGCAAAGTCTTCGTATAACTGAACCTGCAGGTAGTGAGAAACCAAACCATGTTGTTACATGGCGGTTGGGCCATTGTCTAGTTGTGGTTCCTGTGGAGACCAGTCACTTTACGTCCAACCAAGAATTATATAAGAGGAGGAGGGTCCGAAGTACCTGTAGAGGACTCAGGTTGCAGTAATAGTCCTGAATGATTTTAGGAGGAAGGTCCTGGAGGACATCCTCCTTCATCCTCCTCAGAAGGAAGGGTAGCACCTGTCGATGTAGGGCCTCCATTGCCAGGACACCTGAGAGGGAGGAAGCGATATTAACCACCGCTGATGTCCTCGTCTGTATGAGCAAATTCATTAAAAAAAAAAAATATTGGGATGCTAGGAAAAGCAATATTTACACACCTGCCTCCTGTTCCCGTGAGGAACTTTTGGCATCCCGGCTGGCCAGGATGGGTTTACCGTAGCGAGCGGCGAACTGCCGCTCTGTTCCGAGGAATCCCGGCATGAGGAAGTCAAACAATGACCAGAGCTCCAGGACGTTGTTCTGGGGGACAGACGACAGTGGAGAATATTCAGGCTCCGTCGAGTAAACACAAGGAGAAATAGGAACATTTAAAAACAGCTGTGAGCTCACCTGAATGGGCGTTCCTGACAGGATGATTCTGAAGTTGGCAGCCAACTGCTTGATGGCTTTGGAGAGTTTGGTTTTCCCGTTCTTGATGACGTGACCCTCATCGAGGATGCAGTAATTAAATTTGATATTCCTAAAATATAGAAAACTTATTATAAAAACTTCCACTTCCAAAAGCACAACACAAGATTTTAGAATGAAATGATACGCACCTAAAAAAGTCGATGTCATTCCGTACAACATCGTAAGAGGCTACTACAAGGTTGTGTTTCTTCACTTGGTGCTGCAGCCTGGAAAAGTTCAGTGAGAGGACATAAATGAGCCATTGTATACTGTACGCTACAGTTAGCGTGTAATAATGAATCAAAACCAACATTAAAAGGTGCTTTGTCAGGATGAGGACAGAAATCTTTCTCTGCACGCTTACAGACTTTTAGTCTGACTAAGCTTTACCGCATTCGTTCAGTAGGAGGCCCGGTGTAGTGCAGTGGGTTGAGGTATTCTTTGGTGCAGAATTTGCTCACTTCGTCCACCCAGTGGCCGGTTAGTGTGGGAGGACACACTACCAGAGAGGGCAGGGGGCTGATGTCTGGGGCCTTAGTCCTGGCATATTCCTGGACCCTGAGTAGACATCAAACACACAGAAGGCAGAGTCGAGTTTACTTGCACGGGAGAGTTTTAAAGAAGAAAAAACAAATAACTGGGACAAATCACTGTTAATGCTGAAACTGTCAAATTCTGCTTTGTCCATTGTCTCGCAGCACAGCATGTGGCAGGCTCATTGTAGTCATACATGAATAGCATATTATACAAGACCTTTTCATATTCACCATGATCTATATAACAAGCTCAACATCTTGAAAGGAAATGTACTTCTCTTCTTCCTACAAATCTAACAGTGCTTTGTATTCGTGGTCCATCTTAAATGACATTTTATCTCGTATCATGTTTTTTTGGAAATAGTTCATGTTAAAACATGCAGACAACTGACGAGAATTCAGTCTCAAGTTGATATATGGATTGTTTTAGCATTACCGACTGTTTACATGAACTTAATCACAATCATTAAGGCTCTCCTAATTCTTTTAACTAGTTCAATACTTTGTGATTTACTAGTAGATATTAATATCTGACTGATTACACACACCAGCATATAAACAGCTTAAATCGATAATATATTTGGACTCATATCCAACTACTCGATGATAAACTCTCTACAGTTCTTAAAGCTGTGAAGTTACTACAGAGGGAACAATTATACGAGTGATGATGTGTCCGAACGGTACAACATATAGATATATAGTGTGTCGACTGACGGAGGAGATTAGTCCGTGTGCTGACGCTGTAGAGTTAATCATCAGTGACGGTGCCGTTTGGACTACCTGAGGTAGTGATCTCCTGCCAGGATGCAGATGGACTGCAGAGTCTTGCCGAGGCCCATGTCGTCACACAGGATCCCGTGCAGCTTGTATTTGTTCAGGAAGGACAGCCAGTTCACTCCGTCCTGCAAGGTGACACAGAGACCCACAGTGAAATCATAAATAAAAGCAGCCCATTCATTGGAACATGTCCTCCTGAGTCAGTTAAGGTTGAGGACACGGCAGCAGTGTGTTGACCAATAGCAGTAACAAATGAATTTGGCTTTTTGCACCACTCAATGAATTCAAGAGACGGGTGGCTGGTCTCAGCAAAGCTGCCAACATTTCTAGAAGGAACCTGCAGACATACACCGGCTCCATTTGACCACTTTAAAATGTTACTCTGTCAAGAAAACCATTAGATGTCAGTGTCTCTCTTTTGTTTTTTACATTGCTAGCCTGCAGCAAAGCAGAGACCTCATCCCTGAATCTGGCAGAACAATGATTAGAGTCAAGGTGAAGAGGCAGCTCAGGCACAAAACACTGAAGTATCCCAGGAGTTGTTTAAATGTGTAAAAACAACAATAGAATGGGAATCATTGATCTGCTGCTCGAGGTAGTATTGCAGAGGAGCCTGAAAACTGACACCCACCTGCTGGTACTTCCTGAGCTCCGCCTTAATTGGAACTGGGATCTTGTAGTTCTCCAGTTTTCTGCTATCTAGCAGTTGCTCCAGGAAGTGGCGTTCTCTGGCCTTCTGGCGGATCAGGTCAGCGGACATGGCCGGAGGGTCTGGTATACCGGCCTGGTGGACAACAAAAAAAAACGCTTAGGAGCAAAGCGCTGGATAACGACATTGTGTTATTAGTTTAATAGCCAGTGAGCGATTAAGTCGGTTTGCATGTCTGTTGGGGAGCTCCTAACCTCGAGGGGCAACAGGCGGATGAGCGTGGCAAAGCACTGCGTGGCCATGAAACGAATGCTATCGCTGGGGTCGCTCATACGGCCGAGCACCGGCACTACGAGCAGCACAATGTAGGGCACAATGTCCACATCAAGCTGCTCCATGACACCTGGAGACACGCTAGTCAAGGACGGTACTGTGGGGAGATGACACGGCAGCAACTACAAGGTCGATAACAGTAGCATTACCGCACATCTGTGACGGGAAGCTTTTGTATTTTGCTATGAATCAAAGGGTCACCGTGTGAAGGATACAGGCTAAAGCCTCGATGGCACCCTCCTGTTTGGTGCAGTCTTCAATAGCAGCCAACCAGGGGAGGACGCACCCGAGGAAGCGGTTCATGGTCTCCAGCATGGCTATCTTGCTGAGCACGCCCACACAGCGTGCTGCCATGTGACGCACTGCTGTGTACGGGTGCTGCAGACAGGTGAACAGATGGGGTAGGCGCTCCAGCAGCTAGAGAGGAATAAAAATGATTTGCTTGCGTTATAATAGTTGGTTTAAGATGCCTTTATGAACTTTCCCTGAAACAGACACTTTGATGGCCCAAGGAGCAGTTCCACAGCAATATTCAACTGTTAGGTCTCCATATGGTGTAATTAGAATTTCCATCAATGAGAGGACCTGGGTAAACGGCGGTATAGAAGTAGAGCAGTCGTACCAAAGGCTTGAGTTCAGCAGCCATGGCCCCGGCCATGACTTCCAGCACTTGTAGAGAGTTGACCAGTTCCTGAGCTGCAGAGTCTCCCCTCTCCAGCTGGACCTCTCTGTCTAGAGCACACAATACACAAAGTATGGAGTGAATTCTCTCGGTGAAATTAAGTGAATTGATAGATATTTTATTGTCAAACCAATAAATACTTGTTACTCCATGTCCATCAGAGAATAAACCCAATCAACATACCAATTTGTTGGTTTTCAGTCACCACTGTTCTCAGTGGTCCCACTGTGTTCTCCCATAAGTACGGCAGAGATTTGGTGAAGTCTGCACCGAAGTGCTTGGCAACTGTTGTCAGGGAGAACTCCGCCCCTCGCCTCTGAATAAGAAATGGCTTCTTGCTCTGAAAAGGGAAGAGATCATATTTAAAAAGAAAAAAGGGGTAAACAGAATCTGTTGATGTGAGGAAAATGTAGTGCAGAGGTCCTCTGTACCTCGTCGTTATCAGTGCAGATGGTGCTGCCTGGAGGAAGCTCTGTGGTGGGGTTTTTGGGGGCTTTAGGGGCGGGACCCCTCTTACTGGTGATGGCAAACGCTGCCCTTTGGTGCCGGTACAGGGTGATTATGCCGCGGGTTTTGTTGACCATGTGATGAATGCAATCTTTCTCCAACCCACCGCCTAAGGCTATGAAGGAGGAGTAAAAAATATATATATCTGGTGAGTAGCATGCATGCAAGCACTTTACATGTGATGATATCGAGGGATGCTATTGCACTTTTAAATTTGACAAATATAGAAAACAAAAAAGACACCATGTCGTCTCTCCTTCCTTCACTTCCTTCCATTCCCCCTCCTCCTTTTTCTCTTTACCGATGACGCATCACTTACTCGCTTTTGACCAACAGCCTTACACATTGACAGAGAACTATCCCTGTGAAGAGTCCTGTCGCTCGCACCACATCTGATTGATTGATTGATAGATATACACACACATATACATATATATAAAAAAAGGCATTTTAAATTTTGCACAAACCCCTACAGTGTGCCTTGGAATATTAAACACTTGCATTTTATATTCGTCTGAGACCATATTCCACCGATGCAATGAGCCCATCATAAGATGAAATCTAAATGGAGTGCACTATTTAAGTCAGTAGAATGATTAAAATGTCAAAGAACACCCAATTTTGAAACCCAGCTAGTAGCCGAGGCCATGAGTAAAATCACTGAAAAGTATTCCTCAGCTTCTACGACTCTTACCTTTGGCATTTTCCTGTGTGAGGGGAACGGGGCAGGCGGATGAAGGCGTGACGGCGGAGTCCATGCAGGCCGAGGCACAGAGGTTCTTAATGATCTTGGGGTTGGGGCACGGCGAGCGTCCGGCACACTGCTGCAGCAGCTTGGCTATAAAAGACGCGGCGTACCCCTGGATGAGGGTGTTCGCCTCCCGCTTGACCGTCTCCATCAGAGGCCTGACCAGTGGGTTGAGCTTTTCGGGAAGCACCTGCAGGTTAATCACTGCGCACGCCGTGAACATGTGGACGCGCAGATGCAGCTGCTGCCAGTCCGTGTTGGTCTCAGTCACCGTGGATTGGGCCTGCTGCCGTTTACCGTCCAGCGCCTGCCACTGATCAGACTTCACGTCAAGACCCACCGTTGACTCTGTGAAGATGGCGGTTACCTAGGAAACAAGAGGGAGGGAGAATGTGAGCGACTGTAATGGGGGCCATCTGTTACGGAGTGCAACATCCATTGACCTTTGAAGATGAGAATCAAGCCGTCGGATCAGGAAATAAAGACATGGACGGAAACCAAGTTACAGCTGGATGATGTGTCATAATAATAGTAGCCCAACACCTTGACATTCAGCCTTCAGTGTGAACTACAGCTTCTATAATACCTAAACACTGATTTCAATTCGATTAATGAAAAGGTTTCTAATTCAGTTCTCTTATGTGTGTGGCTGCACTCACCAGTTCATTGGCTTGATCAATAGTGAAAACGCTACAATTGAGGCGGTCTTGCAGGTCTATGTTGGCATCGGCTAGCAGCGTAATGAGCTGCTTGCACTCGTTCTGCATGCGCGTGAAGGGGATGGCGATCTCGTCGTAGTACAGATGCTCCGACAGAATGGCCAGAAGACGAGGCTGCACCATCGACGACACCACCTGACAATCCTGAAAGACAGAGACCGGAAAAGTCAATTGCTCATACTACATCCCAAAAAAAAAAAAAAAAAAAAAAAAAAAAAAAGTGCTCAGATTTGTAAATCCGCAACAACCAGCTCCAAGTGTCTGAGCGTTTTTCACCTTCTGCACTGCGGCCCACTCGCAAAGCACCAGAGCCACAGCTATGCGCTGGAGGGCAGACTTGGAGTTGAGGTGGAAGAGCAGCAGCTGGCCTAAAGACTCCGCCGGTCGGATCTCCTGAGACGCAGCATTGAGCTGAGGGTCACAGATACACCGACACAGAGCCCCCAGCAATCTGGTTTACAGAGACACAAAGGAGCGCAGGGAAACACTTTCAGAACAAAACTACTCATCTGGCAATTCTTGGTTTTTTGGGAGAGAAAATCACAAGTTCACCTCACGATCAGGACTGACAACGTTTTACCTTTCGTATGCAACAATCAAAACTCACTTGGCAGCCATGAGGCGAGAACGGACCACTACGTAGTCCCGCGTCAGTGGGTCGTCCATCACCGTCTCTGCACCGGCTATATACTCAACCGTTTCCTTCACCTGATTGGTTCCTAGACGAGCCTTTGCACCCGCCTTATCCTGTTGCATCAACACAACATTCATTATTACAGTTATTCACTTAAAAAGTGGACCTAAACGTACATCTCTTGTGGCATTATAAACGTTGCTTTGCACAGGCAAAGTACCAAGCACTAAATTAAAATATTGGTCTCTTTCTCTGCTTCAGATACAAATATATGTGCACATACATGTACTGTATGCATTTTGGTGCATGAAAACTAAAGCGGTTCTCATTTCTAACGGCATACTCCTACAGAGCTCCATTTCGTTAAACAAACTGGCTATTCAGTTGTCAGGTTGAGCGTGGTGCCTCTGTTACTTTTCTATTTTCTCCCCCGGACTGTTAAGGTCCTCCGGCTCAAACATAGACATACAGGCCTGGGCTGTTACCAGACTGTCACCTAGCAACCTCATCTGTTTTGTGTGACGTCTTGAAGTCACATGCGTTGTTTGCATGAACCCGTTGCAAGCAACTTGCGACAGATACGCAATACCGTCCTGAGTTATGTCCTACTGACATTTTAACACTGATATTTTGTGTTACCTCGGATGTATTGCATGGTATATGACACGCATATAAACTTACACATTTGAAAAAACAAGAGCTTAAGATTAATTTTCCTGAATATTAAAATGTAAAATAACATTAATTTCACTGGCTAAAATTGCTACCAATTAGCAGTTATCGTGCATGGACTGGAGCGTCGGTTTGCATTTGAGGACACAGCTGCATGAACTTTAAATACACGAGATGAGTCTTACTCTTCAGTCTCATCTAGGTATGAATACACAAAGTGTCCCACCTTGCAGCGGGCCTTCACTTCCAGCAGCATGTTGATGTCGATGGGAATGTGCGAGGCCTGCATCATGAGACAGAGCCAGGCGCCCATCCACGGACAGCTGGCTGCCACCACGTACTGCTGCGGGGCCTGAGACAGCAGCTCCATCCACACCTGCCCAGAGACACACGGTCACAGATCAAGACCAAATCCAAAGAGGTCATCCACATGCAAGAGAAGAAAAGCAAGACTTCTCCAATTCCCATCAGAACATTTATCAATTCTTTGTTCTTGGATGAAATTTCAGTATCATTTCCAATAGTCAAACTTCAACAATCTTGGTGATTTTACAGTGTGGGTGATGCAGCACACCTTATGAATCAGCTCAAGGATTTCCTCGTTGCTCTCCAGTATGCACGACTGGAAGATGTGCCGCAGCATCTCTTGTAGGATGGGGTTGATCCACACTGCACAGCTCTGAAGAAAAATAAATAAAAAGATAAAACGCTGCCCTATCAGACACAACACACAGCATTCACAAATAAAAAAGCTTTAGTTGTTATGGAAATGTGTGCATTTCAGATACTTTGTTAAATCCTGTATGAGATTGATTAGTACTCAGATATCATATGAGGTGTTAGTCAGCGTTACCTCGTCAGCTTTAGACAGCAGCGTGAAAAGGGTTTCCAGTGCTGCCCGTCTCACTGATGCTATGGTGTGTCTCAGGAACGGCCAAACCCGAGGGACCAGGACTGTTAATGACTGCTGCATGCTAGAGTGGACAGAATACACAAAGGGCCATCATTTCAGAGAACCAAAAGAATCTGAATTAAAAACCTGAATAAATACCGCCTTGGTACAAGGGTATACACTAAACCTCTGTCTAGACTTTAAGAGTCAGTGGCCATCTAATTGTGTGTTTGAAGAAAGTTTGCTCAGTAGTGGGCGTGCGTCGTCTGGTTGTGTGATTTTTATGTAAATCAAGTTCAAACTCAGCCACCACTGCTGATACACCACAGAGGGGACAACAGATGAGCCAGCTCACTGTAGTGAGCTTCTTGTGAAGCAGAGTATATGCTAAGGCCATCAAACCTCATATGGCAAAGAGATTTTCACCTGGAACACAAGCACATGTATTCTAATCTATGCTTTAAGTCAACAGTTACCAAATCTCCAGCCCAACTGCAGGCTTTACAGAATAAGTTATGTCGAGTACAGCTTCAAGAACTACCGTTTAAAGAAGACGCTCCGGTAGCTTATAAAGTGGCCGCTGAACGTATACTTGAATCTGTAGACAAAGGCCTCTTTTGTCCATTGGACCATTAAGAAAGTGTACTTTCTGTTTCTGCTGTAAACAAACAAAACAATCACGATTTTGAGGCCGTAGCATCTTCTGTGTGGACCTCTGAGAGACTGACCTGCACTGGCGGACCTGTGTGTAGGTGAGCAGCGAGGACAGCAACGTCATGATGCTGTTGGTGGAAGCGGTGAGGTCGTCCAGGTCCAAAAGAGCATCCCACAGCGTGTTCACGATAAAAGGTACCTGAGAGACACGGGCACAGAGTTTCACAACGACAGAAAGACC